GGTTAAGCGTCCGACTTCGGCTCAGGTCATGATCTTGCGGTTCGTAGGTTCAAGCCCCACGTCGGGCTCTGTGCTGACAGCTCAGAGCCTGGAGCCTGTTTCAGATTCTGTGTCTCCCTCTCTCTCTGACCCTCTCCTGCTCACACTGTCTCTCTCTCTCTCCCTCTCAGAGATAAATAAAAAACATTAAAAATTTTTAAACAAATAAAAGAAAAAAAAGATGTTCAACTTTATTAAACAGGAAAAAGCAAAAAGAAAAACAGGATAACACGTCTCACCTCACAGAGTAGCACAGAGGAAAGACCACAAGGCTGGGACAGATGTGAGACGGGAGACTTACTGTCACACCCTGTGGGTGCAGGCTGCTGGTGAAAACCTTGAGTGTCAACCCTTCACACCTTAAGAATATCCAATGGGAAGAGAGCAGTTTCTTCAACAAATGGTGCTGGGAAAACTGGACAACAATATGCAAAAGAAACAAAATAGATCACTTTCTTACACCATACCCAAAAATAAATTCAAGACGGACTGAAGACCCAAATGTGAACTTGAGACCATACAAGTTTTTTGATGGGACTACAAATTATTTTGACTACATCAAAATAAAAGGCTTCTGCACTGCGAAGGAAAGCATCAATAAAACTGAAAGGAAACCTATAGAGTGGGAGAAGATATTTACAGATGACATATCTGATAAAGAGTATCAAAATCTATAAAGAACCTATACAAATCAACCTCAAAAAACCCCCACCAAATTATACAATTTAGAAATGGACAGAAAATACAAACAGACATTTCTCCAAAGTAGTCATCCAGGTGGCCAACAGACACATGAAAAGATGCTCAACATCACTCCCCATCAGGGAAAGGCAAATCAAAACTACAATGAGATGTCACCTCACACCTGTCAGGAAAGGGAATGGTCTTAAAATGAAACCTATAGGGGCACCTGGGTGGCTCAGTCGGTTAAGCGTCCGACTTCGGCTCAGGTCATGATCTCCTGGTTCGTGGGTTCGGGCCCCGGGTCAGGCTCTGTGCTGACAGCTCAGAGCCTGGAGCCTGTTTAGGAATCTGTGTCTCCCTCTCTCTCTCTCTGACCCTCCCCTGCTCACGCTGCCTCTCTCTCCCTCAGAAATAAATAAAAAACATTTAAAAAAATTTTTTAATGAAACCTATGTATGGCAAAGTGTGTAACTGGAGTCTGAGCAGGAGAAAACATTAAACATCCCCAAACTGCATGCCTACGAAGTAACCATCCTGAACTTTTCGAAAATGTCAAGGTCATGAAAGGCAAAGGAAAGCTGAGGAAATGTTCTGCTTCCACAGAAGCAGACTAAAGGAGAATAGATACGACAACAAATGCACTGTGAAAATTGTATAAAGGGTGATATGAGGGCTTGGGCATAAAGTTAGTACAGATTGTAGGTACAATAAAAGTTTCGTTATAGATATTAAATTTCCTGATTTTGATAATCAATCATACCATGGATATGTAAAATAATATTCCTGTTCTTAAAATTATATGTGTAAGTGTTTAGGGGTAACAGACCACATTATGTGGAGTTTATTCTCAAATATTCAGAAAAAAAAATATGTGAAATAAAGTAATATTATATATGTATATACAAATATAAATATGTATAATACATACATATACACATAATGTATATGCATATAGAGAGAAAGTAAGTGTGGCAAAAAGTCAGTAAGTGGTGAACTAGGTGAAAGATACAGGAGAATTTACTGTAATATTCTGGAAACTGTTGTGTATGTTTGAAATCCTTTCAAAATGAGGGGAGAAAGAGAAGTGTCCCCAAGACAGGAGAGCAAGGAGGGGGCGGGTACCCAACCCACTAACGGGACTCAGGGCTGGTCAGTCTCCTGAGAGGCAGGTGTCGTATTGATACAAAGTGGATTATGATCATTCTGGATTGATAAACTTGAACTTGATCCTTGGGGAAATCCTGGCATGTACTTTCCAATAGGTGGGCTATAAACATTTAGAAGAGACTGTGCGCTCTCGCAGTCAGTGTGAACTCCCCCACAAAGCCAAATAAACATATGCAAATCAGGTCAAACGAACCTCATTTTCTTTTTCGAAGTAAATTAACAAAATGACCATCAGCACAGTGTATCCCAATGGAGGCGAAGTTTTTGATAAGTTGTCCATGATGTCTTCATGGATAAGAAGACAAAAAACCCTGGAGGCATTTTTACAGCAACCTGAACACCACCACTCACAGTATAGACTGAGTCTGCCTGGGGGCCAGGGTGGAGGATCAGTCTCCCAGAGCAGCTGTAACCAAGTACCCCGCCCTGGTGGCCTGAACAGCAGAGATTTACCCTCTCCCAGTGCTGGGGGCTATACAAGTCCAAGGTTAAGGTCGTGATCACAAGGGCAGCAGAGAGGGGAGGGTCCATTGAGCCCTCTTTCCTTGCCTTGTGGGCGGTGGTCTTCACTTTGGTGTGGCTACCTCCTTGTGTGCATGTCTGTCTCCAAGCCTCCCCCCTTTTATTTTTTTTAATGTTTCTTATTTATTCCTAAGAGAGAGAGAGGGAGACAGCATGAGCGGGGGAGGGGCAGAGAGAGGGGGAGACACAGAATCTGAAACAGGCTCCAGGCTCTGAGCTGGCTGTCAGCACCGAGTCTGACGTGGGGCTCAAACCCACGAACCGTGAGATCATGACCTGAGCCGAAGCCGGACACTTAACCGACTGAGCCACCCAGGCGCCCCTCCAAGGCTCCCCTTTTGATAAGGACGCGAGTCATACTGGATTAGGATACACGCTAATGACCTCATTTTAACTTGATTACCTCTGCGTAGACTCTCTTGCAAATAAGGTCACCTCCTGAGTTGCCAGGGAGTTAGGACTCCCACGTATGAGTTAGAGAGACACAATTCAACCCCTAACAGTGGAGGTGGGGGGAAGGATCTCTCGCAGACGGCCACGAAGCCCTGCCAGGTTAAACTCTATCAAGGAAAGACAACATGAGACCCTCTTTCCATGCCCGGGGACTATCTACAGGTGCAAAGGGAAAATAATCGGTAGGATGGTGAGACAGCTGGTCTACCAGATACGGAATCGGGGGGCCGTCCAGCTCCCTCACCCCCGGGCGGCACCACCCTGTCATTCCCCATGCACTCCTGGGTGGTGTGAGGATTCAACGAGAACCAGGCGGGAGGCATTATGCAAAATGCAAGGCTCACAAGACCCACTAATCACAGGCACCCCCCCTCCCGCTGCAGACGGAGTCAGAGCCCAGCAGGGAGCGCCAGGCAGGAGCCGGCATGGACACGTGTGACGACAGCACTCTGTCATTTCCTTTACCGCGGTCTGTAGGGAGGCGGGGACGCGTTGGTGACACTCTGGTTTCCAGTCCTTCCCGGCCTCCCTGCCTGGGTCCCATAACCTCCCACCCCTCTGACACTTGGCATCTCCCCCCTTTCCAAGGGGGGCCCTCGGTTCTTGCCTCTCTATAGACGTACAGCTTCTGTCTGGATGTATCCCTAACTTACCTGAGGTCCCGTTTCCCAGGCGTGCCCCACAGGGTTTCAGCACGCGTCGCACCCAGACCCATATTCACAACACTTAGCAAATGCCGTGCATCCTGACTGCAGGATTCGTCGGGACCTTTACTCCTGCATTCTGCCTCTTCACCAAGGGATATGGAACACAACATTTCCCAAACTGCTCCAACTCAGAGCTCCATCTTCCAGACATCTGGAGGAACTAACATCCTGCTTTGCACAAGTGCTGGCTTGCATTCCACGTCCAGGTGGTCCGCGACAGACGGCTACGCACCAAAATCCTGTTTCCCTTCTTTGTGGACATGGAACTAGACTCCACTTCCCAACCCTCCTCAAAGCTGGCCATGGCAGTGCCCCCTCACCCTTTCCAATGGGATGTGAGCGGGTGTGAGAGTCGGGCCTGATACGCAAACCCGCTCTGTGCCCTTTTCCACATCCGTTCCCTTCTGGCTGGCCAGGAGACGAATACCCAGGTGCCCTCGGCAGCGCTGCCATCAGCCAGGGTCCCCGGCACCACTGGATGAAAGACAGCTACCTTGATGATCTGAATACCTGCCTAGAAATTTGCATAAGCCAAAGATAATTCCTATGATGCTAAGCCATGAAATGCCCAACACACTGTCCCATTTGCTTCTTCACTCCCTGTAATTAGGCACGAAAGAAAAATGAACTTTCTTCTTCTTTAGGGAACCATCATTCAAATCCTTTGTTAGAGCAGCTATACCTTAACTTACGCAGTGTATACTGCTTGCTGCATAATAACGCAACCAACAATCACAATTAGTCATGATTGTGTTAAGAAATCAGTTGGGAGTCTGCCTAAAAGTCAAGATTTGATTATTCATATACTCAGGATGTGAGGATTTCATTGCTGGGGAAAATGAAATAATCTTGGGATTCGGAAAGGGGACTGCGGCTTCCAGAAGGGTCACGACCTTCCAAAACCCTCCAATCTATTAGATTGGGTGCACAGCCTCGAGCACCTGCGGGCTGAAGGCTGGACTGTCCGAGCGTGGTTCACCATCCCAGGACGCGGGAAGCACGGCTTCCCCGGGATGCATTCTTGACGTGGAAGAGCATCCAAAAGAAATACGGTCGAATCTCTGCCTCGAGACAGGATGCGATAAATATTATCAGGAGGAAATGGATTTCTGTCCCATTTTCAAGATCTCTGGGAAAGGGAGTTTCCATTGACTCACACCTACCTCGTCAGGGAAAACGACGCGGAGTTACTTCATGGTCTGTGAAAGCCCTTGTTCACATCTGTCAACTGTTCTCGTTCAGCCTCCTAATAAAACGGGTGTGAGGCGGGTGGGTGGTCACCCCGCCTGTCATAGTGCTCCGGGAGTCTGTTACGTGAGACCGCGAGACCCTCAGACGCAGAGCCAGGTTAGGACACCGGGCGTCCCCCCCCAGCCCCTTCCTGTCACTTCCCAGCTTCACCGCTCGGTCGCCCCATTAGTGAACGTCCCCCGACCGTCTAGTCTCTGGGGGGCCTGCGGCAGGCACGTGGATGTGCCACAAAGGTGACCGGGACGGAGCCCGTGGCCCCTGGGAGCTTTGGGGCTTGATGGGGAAACATGACAGGTGCGTACACCTGCTTCAGTCCTGTGACAGCCACAGGCTGCCGCCCGCCAAGCCCTTCAGACCAGAACAGCCGGTCAGGACGGTAGGATGGAGGGGTGGCGCCTGCTGGGACCCCACCCTCCGCACCCACGGGTGCTGGGCCTGAAGCTGCAGGGGGAATACCCCGCCCTTCCACTCACCTCCGGCCCCCTCGGGGGAGGCGGCTTAGATCTTCGCCCCCACAGACCTCAGGACGAGGAGGTCCCAACCCTGGGAGAGTACAAAAAAAAATATTTTTTTTGGTAAAGTTTATTTATTTAGAGAGAGAGGGGAAGAGGGAATGAGTCAGAGCGGGGCAGAAGGAGAATCCCGAGCAGGCTCTGCGCTGTCAGCTCAGAGCCTGATGTGGGGCTTGAACGCGCCAAATGTGAGATGATGATCTGAGCTGAAACCAAGAGTCAGATGGGTAACCGACGGAGCCACCCAGGTGTCCCCCAAATTTCTTTTTCATAAAGTTCTGTTTCTCAGACTGTCTCGAAGCCAGGGTGTGGACAGGTGACCTGGCTTCTGTCAGTCAGAGGCACCCATGGGATACCTGGAGGTGGCGGTGAGTCAAGTCGCCTCGAGGTGACTCCAGGTCCCCCGGCAAGCTGGGGAAGTTTCTGAAGTCCATCCCGTCACGGGGCAGAGCAGCAGGTGACAAGAGCATTTCTTCTGTCGCCCTGGCACACACTGCCCCCCCCACCAGCACTCCCAACACCCAAGCCTGACCAGCAGCACTGCTGCCACCTGTACCCACAGCTCTGACCCACTTCTCGTTCCTTCACTGTGCAAATAAGTCCCGAGCACCAATTTTGTGCCGGGCCCTGATCCAGGTGCTGAGGGTCCAGCAGTGAGGGAGAAAGCCCCGCCTCAGGGGGCCAACCTTCAGGGCGAGAAGGGATCCGGCCCTGGACAAGACAGATGTTGATGGTGTGATTCCATAGTGGTAACTCTGGTTCCTGATTCTTAGCTCTCCCTTTCAAGTTGCTCGTTGCTGCTCTTGCTAAAACGAAAGCTGAATGAACAATCTCTAGGGGCTCCTGGGTGGCTCCGTCCGGTTGAGCATCTGCTCCCTGATTTCGGCTCAGGTCATGGTTTCATGGTTCATGGGATCCAGCCCTGCGTTGGGGGCTCTGCGCTGAGAATTTGGAGCCTCCTTGGGATTCTCTCTCTCCCTCTCTATCTGCTCCTCCTCTGCTCGCGTGCTCTCTCTCTCAAAATAAAGAAACTTAAAAAAAAAAAAAAAGAACAATCTCAAGGTTCTGTGCATTCCACCCCCCCCCACACAGGGTGACAAACCACTTCTGCTATTGCTCATTTTTCTGCAGCAGACTTTGTGTATGTCAGGCCCTCCATTGCTACAGTCCACAAACTACAGTGTGGGTGAAACACTACTTTATCAGTGTCAACACGTTGTAGTTGAAGCTCCCATGCCACCAGGATGGCCAAACCTTCCCTTTCCCCAGAGTCCCATCTAAGTTCTGGGGCACAGGGGTGTCTAGCCGATGCGCTAGAGTCAGGCCAAGGGGCATGCCTTGCCCTGCTCCGCGTCTGTCATCTGTCTATACTGGCCCACGGAGAGCTCCATTGCCCCTAGGTCCTTGGACTTGCAAGAGTCTCCATGTGCCTGCCTGCACGGGCCTCTCTCCCCCACTGGCGCCTGGGGGGTATGCAGGCCTCTGAAAGGGTTACCTGAAGCCCATGCTATCCAGGACGCGATGGAATAATTTCCTCTCTTTGGGTTCTGGCTGCCTCTCCGCAGCCCTTCTCAGTGAAGAAGACATCATTCCCTGTCTTCTCAGATCTCACAAACCTCCCCACAGTCAGTCCGGCTGCACAGGGCATGGGTCCTCTTTATAACTTCTCCTGCAGGGACCTCCCTGCTTCTCAGCTGGGAAAAGGGGTTTGGGAAGAAGATGATTAACATAATTTGGGTTTCCTCCTAATCATTCATCCCTTTCTTGAAAGAGCCTAGGCTTCTGGAATCAGAAGAGAGCATTTCTTTAATTTCCCTCCCTCAGGGTTTCCTGAGGTCTTGATGCCCCCACCCCCAGGAGGCAATGAACCTAGAGCCGTTTTAACTTTGAATTGGCAGCAAGAAGCAAAATATCACAAGGTTATATGCTACAGGAAGCAGGGTGTGAAGAAACAGGTAATATTTCAAAAATAATCACTGCACAGATGGGAACACACAGCAGAAGAACTCCAGCAGGAAAGGAGGAACGAAGACGTGGAAAGGCAAGGAAAACTGATCCATGAATGGATACGCTGGTGTGTACCCACTCATCATCCCACGGCAGGCTGTTCTGGAGGTTGGACTAAGTTTGAAGTAATCAGGTTAGCTGTTCATTTTTTCACTTAGAAGAGTGGTTCCCTCGGGGCGCCTGGGTAGCTTAGCCGGTTAAGCGTCCAACTTTCGCTTAGGTCATGATCTCGCGATTTGTGGGTTCGAGGCCCACGTCGGGCTCTGTGCTGACTGCCAGCTCAGAGCCTGGAGCCTGTTTCAGAGTCTGTGTCTCCCTCTCTCTCTGCCCCTCCACTGATCATGCTCTGTCTCTCTCTCTCTCTCAAAACTAAATAAACATTAATTTTTTATTTTAAAAGTGACTTCTCTATCAAGAAAAAGCTGCCCAGAGGCAAATCACAATAAAAGGAAGCCAGACACTGGCAGATTAGCTTCAAGGAGGAATACATTAAACTAAAATGGCAAAATATGCTCAAAGGAATGTGGGAAAGCAACTCAACATTGCAAGAAAGTGAAGGCTGAAAATAAAGCAGTAAGTCACTGCTGAGCAAATATTTATACGTCATCTATTCAAAACGCATATTCCTTAAAATAAGTTTTCGGTTAATCAGTATATTTCATAATATTAATCCTTCCTTAATCGTCTGGAAAAGCATCTGAAAATCAGCTAAAGTCTCTGAGAGCCCAGCTTCCAACTTAGCCTCTTGATGGACCAGAAACCCTAGCCCTTCACACCATGTTCTGCTTCCCTCGGAGACAAATGAAACAGGCGAAATAAAACAACCACGCAGGAAATCAAACAGGGTTTTCAGAGCAAGCTGAGAAAGATTCATTGGCTTCACATAATCACCTGGTGAACAAAACCAGAAGCAGGAATAGACTTCGGTGTAGAAGGACCTAAATGGGGCTATCAGATCAAGAGATGTGGAGAGAAGAGTTTTATCAAAGAACTATAATATGTACATGTAACGACAAATGCATGCAAGGATTAGCATGAGCTTCTAAAACGTTTTCAGGAATTTTACTGACCGACATGAAATGTATTTTGCTTTAAATATGGTATATGGACAGACACACACATCCACAATGGAATACTCAACTTTAAAAAGAATGAAATACTGATACAGGCCATTACATGGATAAACCTGGAGGACATTATGCTGACTGAAATAAGCCAGACTCATAAGGACAAAGACTGGGTGATTCTACTATATGGGGTTCCTGAAACAGGCAAATTCATGGAGCCAGAAAATGGAATAGAGGTCCCCACGTCCTGGGGGGAGGGGGGTGCAGGAGAGCCAGGGTGAGAATGGGGAGTTATTGTTTAACGGGTATAGTTTCTGCTTGGAAAACGTTTTTTCTTTCTGATGAAAAAATTCTGGAAATGGTTAGTGGAGATGGCTGCACACCATTGTGAATGTAGTTAATGCCACTGAATTATACCCTTAAAAATAGTTAAAATGGTGAGTTTTATGTATATTTAACCATAATTTAAGTTTAAAAAAGGGGGAGGGAGGAGGGAAGCAGAAGAGTTAGTGCAAAGTGTACCCTGGGAAAGACCCAGCTCTGTTTCGGGCTTTGACGACGGAGGAAGGGGCCATGAGCTGCAGAGAGAACGAGTACAATTAACAGAAGCTGGAGAGGCAAGAAAACAGTCTCCCTTAGAGCCTCCAACAACAACAACCCTGCGGACAGGGTTGGACAGCCCTGCGGACGCTTGGCTTTCGGCCCGAGGGGACCCATTTTGGCTTCTGACCTCCAGAACTAGGAGAGATTTGCGTAAGGTAACAGCTTTGTGCTGCCACCACCAAAAACAAATTCTGCTTTGTTCTCAACTGGCTGACCTAATCACACCGTAAATACTCAGTTAGCACTCTGCAGGGACCATTCCTCCCCCCAAACCACCCCAAACCTGGGCAGGGCCGGTGAGTCTTTCCTTGGGCTTCTAGAAGGCCTCCCGCCTGAGGACGACGGTCACGGAGCTCCTGGTCGCCAGGCCGACTTGCCAGATGTAGCAAACAGAATTACGGAACCCAAATCAAGAGCAACAATAACAACGAGAAGAAGCAAAACCAAAAAACTCACATATGCCGTATTTGGGACACATACTTAAAAACTGTTGGCTGAGAATCTAAAATTTACATTTCACAGGGCTTCCGGAATTTTTTCTAGCAACGCTACTCCCTAGCCACATTCGGTGAGCCGACACATGGTGGATTTGGGTCGTTTTGCCTTTTTCTTAAAGATTAAACGGGGAAGTGTCATTGATAAAAAACCCGTTTCTGGATTCTCTTTACCTCGCCCAAACCTGGCGGAACTTCCGCGGGCCTGGCACGCGGGCCGGCGCGGGAAGACGCGCGCAGGCGCAGAGCGGCCGAAGGGGGGCGGCGGATTGCCGTCGCGGAGCCGCGCTGTCGGCCCGCGCAGGCGCAGAGAGGACGAGGTGTGGGGGGGGGGGATTGGGTTGCCGTCGCGGAGCCGCGCTGACGGCCCGCGCAGGCGCACAGAGGACGAGGTGGGGAGGTGGACGGAGCGGGTTGCCGTCGCGGAGCCGCGCGGACGGCCCGCGCAGGCGTAGAGCGGCCCATCCCAGGCGCCCGGGGTGAGCACCTGTCACTCCAGAGGAGCTGCCAGGGCCCCCCCCCCCCGCGGGCCGCGGGCCGTGGGTCCCCGGAGCTCCCAGCGCCGTCTATTTATATCGCTGGGCTCGCACAGGCCCATATTGGGCAGTGCCTGCCGGGCAGGCCCGCCGGCCGCCCCGCCCCCGGCCCCGGCCCCCGGGCCACAGGGCCAGGTCGCGGCGCCATCGCTGCGGCCTCTGCGGAGCCAGTGGGGCCGTGCCTCGAGCCGTGGGGCAGCAGCTCGTAAGTAACTGACGGTGACAGAGGAAGCAGGGGCCCCACCCCAGGGCCTTGTCTCAGCTCTAAGCGCCAGGCCGGAGGTGGGGGCGGCCTTCTGCGCTTCCCTTCGGAGGCC